CATAAGCCCCGGGGGGGGGGACAGGACCCCCTCTATCTGAGGGTTGTCCCCCCTAAAAATATGATTAAAAGCCACGCTGTGTATTGTAAATAACAATGTTTTATACTTTAAATAATTATGTAAGTAGTAAAACAACACAAATGGGGAAAAAATACATTTTAAGTTTAGAAACATTTTGAGTCTCCCCCTCCCTTGCCTCACAGTGCTTTGGTCCAAATGCTTGCTTTCCTCTTTTACATCACCTACACACACACACAAGTCTGGTGAGAGAGAACAAAGTGAATAGTTGTGGAACTCCAGTAAGGCTGTCAAGGCTATTTTATTCACTTAAACATCCTATAAAGTGATTATTTTCTCTTTAATACAGATGATGCCAATGTATTTTTCGATGAGTCGCTATGTTATCAATAATAACGTTAACTGCTTGATGGAAAGGGTTGCCAGCTTTTCACAACAAAACCCACCACATTGCTACTCAAAAGTAGCCCAAAACTAGCCCAAATTAACTGCGTTTGGAGGGGATCTCCCGGTAAAAATCGCGTTCCGGGAGCTAAAATACACGTTATTGGGGATGCTTCAACCCGTGGACATGAAAAACAACCCGTGGCAACAGTGATAAAGTAGCCCAATTCCACGGGAAAACCGCGGACTTGGCAAGACTGTGATGGATAGTAATGTCTTCAACGGACACGAGCGCTGTCGCGGCGCGACCACAACACTTGAAGTTGACTAATTTGGCACGGTCTCCCTGCTACACTAATAGTATTAAGGCTTTCCTCTGTGTATACATATCCCTTACAAGTACAATTATAGCTGGATTATTTGTGTCCCCTTCAAAAATTGCTCTTGAGAAATTGTATGTTTATTGTCCCCCCCCCCAACTGTTAGACGAAATGTACGCTCCTGCTACACCCTACACTTTACAGCACCTTCACCTCTTATGCTCTTGATTTTTGATTAAGTGTCTTATTCAACTCAAGTATAGCCTAATGCACAAATGAATGCTCCAGCCTCACTCTGTTGAAACTTGGGACTCTGTACCTCCGATTTGGCGGTAATAAGACCAACTCATTATGCAGGACGTGATTAGAATCAGCTACTATATTATTAGCTAGCCTTAACAAGGTGCTATAATAGGCTAAATCATATAGCTTCTCAAGAGGCTGACCAACAATCCTTGAACAGATTTTTATGTACTTAAACAATTTTATTTTTAACTTAAAGGGTTAGTTCTCTCAAAAATGAAAATCAGCCCATAAATTACTCACCCTCAAGTCATCCTAGGTGTATATGACTTTCTTCTTTCAGACGAATCCAGTTGGAGTTATATTAAAAATTGTCTTTGATGTTTCAAGCTGTTTAATGCCGCTCAGCGGGTTGTACCTCCGATTTGGCGGTAATAAGACAAACTCATTATGCAGGACGTGATTAGAATCAGCTACTATATTATTAGCTAGCCTTAACAAGGTGCTATAATAGGCTAAATCATATAGCTTCTCAAGAGGCTGACCAACAATCCTTGAACAGATTTTTATGTAATTAAACAATTTTATTTTTAACTTAAAGGGTTAGTTCTCTCAAAAATGAAAATTAGCACATAAATTACTCACCCTCAAGTCATCCTAGGTGTATATGACTTTCTTCTTTCAGACGAATCCAGTTGGAGTTATATTAATCGTCAGAATACTTTAAAATATATTGATTTGTCATGTCAGCTCGACAAACGTCTGTATATGAAAAAGTAAACAGTATAGCAGAACTGACACATACCTGGGGTACTCCAACATTTGTTATAATAGCAGATGACAATGTTTTATTCACTTAAACTCTCTGAACTCTATTTGTGAGAAATTAGATATACCAGCAAATCAGATGAACATTTCATCCAATTGTACAAGTTTTGACACCAAAATATCAACCTGTATTGTGTTAAACGCGGAGGAAAAGTCTAAAAACAAAGTTCTTATGGCAGTAGTAGGTTTATATAGATGTTTAGAAATAAGATGTACTAAAGTAGCAACAGCATCTTCAGTGCTGTAACCTTTCTTATAGGCAAACTACCAAGGGTCAAGTTTGTCTTGAACCATCTGAACTAAATGCTGAAGTAACAATCTTTCCAAGCATTTCCCAATTACTGAAGTAAGGTCTATTGGTCTAAAATCCTTATATTCTCTCGGACATGGAACTTTGGATAATGGTTTTATATATGCAGTCTTCCATAACACAGGAACAATATGTGTGTCAATTGTGGCCTGTAATACCGGTTGCCACACTAGGGCTAATTCATTTGCAAAATTCTTTTAAAACAAAAACCTGCACTACATCGTAATAAGACAAACTCATCATGCAGGACGTGATTAGAATCAGCTACTATATTATTAGCTAGCCTTAACAAGGTGCTATAATA